CCCCAAAACCCCAAAACCCCAAAACCCCAAAACCCCGGAAATTCGCAAAATAATTGAATAAATGAAGTTTAAGGGGGTAAAATTCTTTTAGAGTCTAAGAAGCTGCAAAAAGTTCTGGATAGAAAGAAAGTTTAGAAGAGAGAGTTTAATAAAAAATTAAGTCTCTTAAGCAAGTTAATGATTAGAATATACCAAAATCCAAGTATAAGCATCTACACCTCTCCTCATTTCACCTCCACCCAACCCCCTTCAAAAATTCTTCAAAACTCCCAATACCTCATAAACCCCCCAAAGACCTCCCTACTTAATCCCCACTCCTCCCCTCCAACCCCTATCTCCCCCTCTACCCCAAAATCCCACCTAAATCCCCTTCCTCTGAACCCTATTCCTTCTTCCATCTCTGCACTCATTCCAACAGAACTCTTGCCCTAAAAACTCAGATTTCTAAAAATGGTCTATTCCACTACAACTCTTAAACTCAGAAAATATATACGATCTGGGTTCAGGTCGTGCTGAAGTATTGTCACTCAATGGTGCGGACAGGCTAGACTTTGAAGGGCCTTACTGTTTGTCTTCTTGAGAATCACTCGTTATTATGAAATAGAGAAACTCTATACCTCAGATATGGACGAAATTATTGTTTAGAGCCTAACTCAGGGAGAATGGGTTTTATGTATATTTCAGTTCTTACGTTGATTGAGTTTAAAGAAATTATCATATTTCTCATTGCAATATTCTTATGCAGAATTTTGTTTGCAAAGTCTTTTTAGCAAGTATATAAAATAATCACCTCCAGCATCTAAACAAAGAAATACCTAACTTCGACGCCGATGCGGTACCGCTAAAACATTTCCAACCCCTTAAAAACTAAAATCTTCTAAATAACTCTATGAGACTATATTCAAACGCTATTCCATAAATTTTCCAACAAGAGCTTCTAAATTCTTTCCCGCCTATTTGTAGGTTCTTTTTGATTGCACACTAACACTTTGGATGAGTCTCTATTTGCAGATTCCCAAAAAAACTACCAAGGGCTTACACACTTCCTTATTTCCAATTGAAACCCCTACTAATTAAAGCCCAAAATTGAATTTTGCTCTCTCCCTTCTTCCTGAAATCCTATTGCTTCAGACTTTAATGGAACCTCTTAGGTCAATAGGAGCCCTTGGTAGTCTCAAAAGCTGTAAGAAGCCGAGTGTCAGGCTGACTAGAAGTCTTTCAATAAATAACTAAATAGAGCGGGATAAGGTGTTTAAAACTAATTCTGAACTATTCTGTGGGGAATCTTAGTGTGTTGTGAAACTAGGTTACGCAGGGAAAGACTGAAGGCAACGTTTTGAGGGGAGATTAGGGGTCGGAGTGGGCAAAGCAGGTGGATAGGAGTCGTTTTGGTCGAGAGAGAGGCTGAGAGGGTGCTAAGAGGGGCTAATATGGATGGTTCCTATTCTGAAAATTGAGGAATCATAAATTGTTAGTGTTCTATGTGCAGATCTATAATTTGTAGCTTTCAGGTTTACAAAAACTTAGGGAAATTATAAGAAATTTATGTTGTTGTGCTTCTATTTTCTAAAAGTTATAAAATATGAAATATTATGCTAGATGTTTCACCCAACTTTTAACAATCATCCTGGTGCCCAATCATGGTAAAAGCTTATGTTCAAAAAAAGGGCAGTTATATAAACTTTTATATAGGAAACTGAAAGTTCATTCGTCATATTAGTTTCATTCTAGATCTTCCAAAGTTATTGTTCTTTGTTTATTATAACTAACACTATTACTCTGCTACTAATCTTCCACTAAATTATTCACAACCCCAACCACACAATTTCCCCAAAAAAATCAATCCATTATCCCCTACTCCAAAATCCCAAGATCTCAGTCCCCAAAACCAATGAACCCTCGCCTCCTTCACTCTTCCTGACCCACCCCTGTCCCCACTAGCCCATTGGTCTGCACTCAGACTCCAAGCCTTCCTCTAAACCCTTCTATAAATCCCTTCAGAATTTATGACTCATAAGTCCTCCTCTTCTCTTCCTCTCAATGCAATGTCCGAACTGACCATAGACAATGAGGCAGAAGGATGGGCTTCTGGGAAAGCGAGAAGAAGATGGGATGCACGAAAGGGTCTCCCAGAGACAAGAAATAGGTATGGTGCCTGTCTTTTTATTTTATTATGTTACGAAGATGCATAGAAATTGAGGAAAGTTATTACAATATGCATACAAACTCTGATTTTGGATACTATCGCCTGGTTTAGAAATATTGAAGGCTAGATCATACAAATGAAAACAAGTAATATACTGATTTATTGTCTCTCATTTGAAAACCTCTATAAACTCCTAATATGCACTTTCATAAGCACTATAAAAACTTTAGAATCCTAATTAAATATAAAAATCCATACTTATTTTAACCAAGTAAAAACAATTTGGAAGAAATTCGCATAAGAATGGTCAGGAAGTCTAACTTATACATTATATTAACCAAAAGATCTCCAAATGCTCAACAACATTTTCGAAGGTTATTATTTCTCCAAACAAGAGAAGGGTGAATCCTCTAGAGTTATGAAAAAATAATTAGCTACGACTTAGATGTTTACTATTCAATAAATTATTAATTTAAAGGGGTTTTGGGGTTTTGGGGTTTTGGGGTTTTGGGG